AATCAGCTGTCTCACGAACGTAACCAGCACATTTATCCCCACATAGCAAATAACACAGCGAGGGAGAAGAACTAAGTTAAATGAAACAATCCAACTACATATTTTACACCACTGACAAGGAAAAGTCACTACTCACGGTGTTTATGGCTAGCTTGGTTTCTGCAGCTTCCCTTTCAAGGTATGAACGAAACGCGCCCTGTTTGTTCGCGGTCAGCTACGGTAGAAACATGATGTCACAATATGTCGACCTTTATAGAAGGGGGTGCTCACGGTTGTGTAGATATAAATGTCTCATTCTAAGGTAATAAATAGATTACAGTTTCAAATACAAGTAAGTTCTTTATAGACCAACGCCACTTTTGCGTCATCGAAGGTAACGCCCCTTTTTGGGGGAAAACACCTCTATACTGTCTATGGGAAAACAAACGGATTCCCATGAGAACAGAACTCGCACTAGATCTGCAAAGTTTCTTGATAGCAAAAATGGCACAAACTTAAAGAAGCTAACGTTACTGAATACAGGGTTACAGAGGTGTCCCTTTGAAATGGTCGAAAACTGGATTAATGACCCCACACAGCGGCCAAATATGGACTATTCAGACATCTAACGATACCACTATCTCGTGGAATCACCAAGTAAGTAGCCTTTTTTATTTATTTATCACAGTAGCCTATTACAAACTACTAGACGATGAGGCCATGTCACTTGGATCATATTTAACTTGATTTAAGCTATTGACAGTTTTGTTGTCGACTAGCTATTAGAAAGACTAGCTGTTAGCAGCTAACGTTACCTTATTAGACTATGTCAATAGCTTAAATCAAGTTAAATATGATCCATTCATCGTCTAGTTTGTCATACTGTGAGTGTTAATGAAAAAAAAAAAAAAGGCTACGTGCTTACTTGGTGATTCCACGAGATAGTGGTAACGTTAGATGTCTGAATAGTCCATATTTGGCCGCTGTGTGGGGTCATTAATCCAGTTTTCGACCATTTCAAAGGGACACCTCTGTAACCCCGTATTCAGTAACGTTAGCTTCTTTAAGTTTGTGCCATTTTTGCTATCAAGAAACTTTGCAGATCTAGTGCGAGTTCTGTTCTCATGGGAATCCGTTTGTTTTCCCATAGACAGTATAGAGGTGTTTTCCCCCAAAAGGGGGCGTTACCCTTCGATGACGCAAAAGTGGCGTTGGTCTATACACCACTGAAAACATATTTATGGATGTCATATTGCATTTCTGTTAATAGATACTCTCAATTTTCAATCACCTCTCATCATTCAATCACCCTTATGCCGTCCCAAATGTCCCATCTCTGTGAGTCCATATAATGCAAGCAAATGAAACCCTCAAAGTTGACACGCAAAACGAACACGAAGGTAATCTAAACAGCTCCAGTTAAAGTCCCCGTGAAATCAAAATTGAACCTATTTACTTTGTTAGCGCATATTACTAGTCTTGTGGTGAACAATTAATCCGTGCAAGTAAATATATATTAAAAAAATGTGTTACCTTGGTAATCTTTAATCAAAATCTGAAAAGTTACTTCCGGTCTGGAACGGTTGATGACGTAGGTTTCACAGTTTGGGTGGGGAAACGCTTAACCACTCCCCTCAAACCGTTAGTTTGCTATGAGCGAGAGATGGAGAGGAGGAGCGCTAGAGTAATACCCTGCCCTCTGTTCAATATTCCGTTTCACTTGGAAATACGTCACAGCACTGGAGAAAAATCGTTTGCAACTTCCGGTTCACGGGGACTTTAATAATTCAATGTCTTCTGAATCAAAACGTGCTTATAAACTATCGCTTTCAGCGTCATACATGCTTGATGTAAGTGTGTTGTGAAACTTGAATGAGAAGTGGTGATCCTCTTTGCTTTCACATCACTTAGTATTTATTAATATTTTTCACAAACAAACCGGTTTGCTAAAGAAGACATTGATTCATCAGCTCGAGTTGTTTGGATTACCATTGTGTTCGGATCAGAGAAATGGATTATTTTTCTAAAAATCGGTTTGTGTTCATCTGAAAAAAGAAGATCATATCTGGGACGGCATGAGGATGTAAATGATGGGAGAATTTTCATTTTTAGGGGAAGTATCACATTATGTATATATATATATATATATATGGCCTTAAAATACAACGCTTGATCAAAGAGCAAGCTTGTCAAAACAGAACCAAAAACTTTACTTGTCTCTGGCCACATTGTGTTGCTCTCTACGTCTCTATGTGACAAACTCTCAGACAATACTGTCAGGATAGAAAAGCAGACACAGCATCCAATTCCCACATCAGTTTGTACTTGTGCTGTAAATCTAGCTCCCTGTAATGCATGTAATGTTATACAGGGCGATCCGGTTCACCAGCAGGCCTGGACAATTATAACCCAGCCTGTTGTCTCTCTACCTCGGGTGTTGGTCAGCTTGGTTCCGAGTTCCTGCCCTCAGAGAGCTTGTCTTTCTAGAACTTGATCTGACAGACGGTAGCCCAAGGAAATCAGAGAGCGTGCACGGGATAGACCTGGATAGAGTGTGCGGGTGAGATCGGCCTCAGATAGGAATACAGCGAAACCTTACCTTTGACACCCGACTTAATAGTTTTGGATGAAAAATATATGAGCTAAATTTATGCCAAGCAGAAACTGTCAGAATAATTACATAGAAAACAAGTGTAACTTTTTCAAAAACTTTGTGGAATATATCATTTGCTAATTTAACATGCGATTAATTTAAACATTTCTGAAAAATACCCCTTAGTGTCCAATTAACTATGAAACACAAACTAAAACTTCCTTTACACATGAAGTTGCTGAGGAAGTGACTGTGCCTTTATTTCAGGAAGTGCAGTTTAACGGACTTCCTGTTAATACAAACTATGCAATGCGCCGAAACACACACACAGATATGAGCTTGTTTTGGCAAGAGATTTTGCATAATCTAAAGGGACAGTATCTCATGGATCATACCTTGATGGAGCCTTACACATACAGTAACATTCGGACAAAACATATATCATGACAACAAATTAAGAATTGTTCTCTTGTTTTAGTAAATCATGGCCACATTGAACAAACTAAAACAGGGGGGAAGGAGTTGGTAAAACTATAAGTCGTGGGAATGAATTGTTAATTTGTGGCCATGATATACTTATTTTTTTCCACATATCATGTGCAGGGCTCCGTACATATCACATGGAAATGAAATAAGCAAAATAAGTAAAAGTACCTGATCTACCTTGTCTTGGAAAATATGGCTACCATTTACTCTCTAGACCTTTTAATTTGGAAACTTATATTCACCGATCAATAGTGTGTTTTTTAAAGGAATTCATACTTTTATTTAGCAAGCGCACATTAAATTGGAGAGTAAAGACATTTAATCTTACAAAAGATTTCTATGTCATATAAATGCTGTTCAATTTTCGATTCATCACGTTTCCACAAAAATATAAAACAGCATAATTTTTTTTACATTTTCAAGATATGTTTCTTGGGCACCAAATCAGCATATTACAATGAAAATTCAGCTTTTCCATCAGAGAAATAAAATACATTTTAAAATATATTCAAATAGAAAGAAGTTATTTTAAATGGCAAAAATATTTCATAATATTAATGTTTGTACTCTATTTTTGATTTTTTTTTTAAATTCATTCTTTCTTAAAAGGACACTCATATAGCGATTAAAAAAATTAAGTAAAACAATTACAACTGATGCCAACCTATAATAATATGACTCATAATGTCAAAACTAGAGCAACTCCTAAAGTTGGTCTACAACCTCAATCTCAGCAAATAAATCTTTTTAGACCCCTTCTAGTTACCCTCTTTTGAATAAAAGGGAGCAGACAGAGAGCAGATATATCTCAGCGTGTGTTCCCGCTGGCACAAGACCTCCTCTCAGTCTCGGCATCAGTCTGCCTGGAGCACTTTCCTCAGGGGCCTGTTTAGTCCTGCAGGGCTGTTAATTCATCCATATGGATGAGATGGTCGCCTGTCGCAGCTGCATCAATGTGGGTCAGGCTGTCATAGAGGTGGCCTAGTTTTAACTACCTGTGCCACTTTTTTAGTGGGATCTGTCAGAGCTCCAGGGTAGGATCAAGGTGACTGAGTCTAATCATTACTTTGTGGGTCCATAAATAAATTTAGGTGAAACTCTAAAAATGTGAAATAATTATAGCCAATTTTCTTTTGCGATTAAATCAAACCCATATGACGTCAAAAATGCCGGTACCTAGTCGATACTACCACAGTGTCTACACTGGACATGACAATTGTCACGGACAAAGCGACCGTTGCAAATCTATTTGTTCATCTCAAGTATCACAAGCATTTAGAGTAAGTCAAAAATAAGGACATCAGTTTTAGGGATTTGTTGTGTCGTGTTGCATCCAGTGTAGACAGCATCACCAATTATAATGGGTTTTATTTGCTTTTGTCGTACCGCGTCACTTGCATCTGGTGTAGACACGGTGTGAGAGTAAAAAAAAAAAAATAAATAACAATACCTACCACCAAATACACTGTATTTGTGTGTATTTGTCTTACTGCACTGGTAGATTTAAATTTAACCCAAGTATAAAAGTCAAGTGCAGTAAGACAAAATACACTTCTTACAGCCCAATCACATTTTAGAACGAAATTTCAGTAAAATTTTGTATATATATATAAAAAAAAGTTCAATAATGAAGCAATGCATAAAAAATTGTCAATAATGTAGAGGTGCATCACGGTCACTTTCAATACAAGCAGCTTCCTATTGGTCATGTGCCAAAGTTTGTGTGGAGAAATTTCCACCAAAAGTCCATCAGGCAAAATAATAATTCCCCACAAAATTTTCGCCAAGCAACAGCAAATGAGACCACATCTTTAATACTTAGGCAGTTTTGCTTCTCAGATCAATTTTCTTTTAAGCGTATCAGTATTTGTCTATGACCTTATTATAGATAGGGCCATGATCCTGCTTTAATGAAATATGAATCACTTAAATCTCTGCTCACCTCCTCAATATAGCTCTCCATGAAGGATCCACGAAACATGGCTGCCATCCAATCACAGCTTGAGATGAGCAGTGGCTTGTGGGCTGGCAGATATCCGTCATCTAATCGAAACACCACATCTAAAACCAGGAGGAAAAGAGCACACATCTCGGCGTGTGTCACAGAGTCGAGGCTACAGAGGGGGAGACAGGTGGACGGACGAACACAAAGAGACAGACGAGAAGACAAATAGACACACAGACCGATAATAAATAGACAGATTGACAAGGCTAAGGATAAGAAGACAGAAAAAAAGTGAAGGGAGGGCCAGACCATATAGGAGGCAATTTTATTTTAGCAGCGAATTCTTTAGAGACTGTCATGGATGACTCCACATGTTCACTGTTGCTCACTAAATACGTTAAACAACAGATGATGTTGGAAGGTTGCTTAGCATTATGCTGCAGGTATCAGGAGGGCATGTTGGGGAAACTGCACCTAATTAAATTCAACACTCTCAGAAAAAAGGTACACTTTTGTACCTAATTGGTACCTTCATGGTACATATTTGTACCATTAATGTACCAATATGCACCCTTTAGGTACAAAAGTGTACTTTTTGAAAAGGCACCGCCCCAGTGACAGCTTTTGTACCTTTTTTCTGAGAGAGAATGCTGATTTTGAATAGATCTCTAATGATTTGTTTTCTAATCTTCAGCATACCCTAATGCTGGGGACACAATTAATGACTAGCTGAAACATTCTAAGACTGAATCGAACACACATACAGACTGTTTCCATCAACTGGAGCATATTATAAACAGGGACTGTGAACACAGACTGAATGCAACTGTCTCTGGCTCGTTTGGGTATGATCAGTCGTAAGTATCAAATTACATTCATAATCGGCCTTACGGTTGTTAAGTGTGTCCCCAGCTTTAGGAAATATACAAACAGTCCTCTGGCTGAAATGGAGATGAAAAACATTCAAGTTTTCAAACATGAGAGAAGCAGCTTCATGGTTGAGTAATTAGATTATGACAATTGCAGAGGATACAATGAAATAAGCAGGTGTAAGTGGACAGTATAGGAGTGTTGAGGTTAATTATTAAAAGGTTAAATATGACAAACATGCACACAAAACACAAGACATGACAATAACAGAGATTGAGCGACATAGAACACCACAAAGCACAAATGAAAACATGTTCACAATCTGCAATTAATTGACAGCAAGTGAAAGGATATTTTAAAGCACTCCACAGGGTATTTTCTCAAAACAATGACAACAAGACAGAGACTGAATGAAGGAAAGGAAAGAAAAATTGTGCAAATTGACTACTCGACTACTAGAGTATAAACTATTGGTAACGCTTCCTTTTATAGTACAGTACTTACAGTGTACTTACCTAGAAAGTACTGGCTAATATAAGGTAAGTACATGGAACAGGGGTAGGTTCGGGGTTAGTACTAGTTATTACCCAGTAATTGTAGTTACTAAAATAAGTACATAGTATTTACATGGGTAACTGGACTGTAAAAGGAAGCGTTACCAAACTTATTCTATTCCAATTCCACAGGATTCTGGATTTGAAAATAGAATTGATGAGGCTCGAGTCAATGGTGTCACTACGAAAACCTTTTGAATGTGAGATTAGATATAGTCAATAACACCAGAACCTCCTTAAGAATCAGAATTAAACAAATTAGGACAGTTAATTATTAAAAAAAAAAAAAACAATTAGAACTTCATTAATTTTTTTCTCATTCCCTCAGCAACATCAAAATTCATTATAGTTGAAGATTGAAAACTGGAGAAAAGACTTGATTCAGTTTCTCAGTGTAAAACGATAAAACAGATAGCAGGGTTTTTTCACAATACGATGTTGTGTCACAAAATGATATGAACTCATTTTCCTTATGAGTTTAATCTAACATTTATAATATAGACCTTATTCAGAGCAGCGCCATGACGGGTATAAAAGTAGGGCTGTAAGTGATAGACTTACTGTTTTCAATGGCATCCGCTGTAAAAATCTATATAAAGCTCCTAGATCGTTTTTTGTTACAAAATTTCTTGGAAAGATATTTTGCAGTGTTTCTTTAGCAGAACAATCCCACACATTAAATTAAATAATAGTAGAACCCACTGACAAGATACATGTCTATCCCCCACAGCCTTGCTTTCATTCCCATTGAAAATAGTTAGATAGATAGATGATAGATAGATAGATAGATAGATAGATAGATAGATAGATAGATAGATAGATAGATAGATAGATAGATAGATAGATAGATAGATAGATAGATAGATAGATAGATAGATAGATAGATAGATAGATAGAAAGAATAAAAACGCGTCCTCAGAGAAATACATAATGCATGTTTGACCCTGATTTCAGATTGCCTACCAGCAAAGGCACCCTTGCTCAGGCACTCTTTGATGCGGTTGGCACGACGCACATGGAAGGCTTTGGTGATCTCCTGGTTCATAAAGCTCTCACGGTTCAGCACGTTGGCCACCATCATACGCAGGTCGAAGACCTCAAGAAGCTCAGCAATGGTGGCAACCTGCATCAGATCCCCACGTTTCTCATCCAAGTGACCCGTGTATAGGTACTGCAGCACTGCCTAAAAGAGCCGAGACAAGGGAAAACGGAAAATGTGACACCGCCGCAGAATTTCATAGAGAATCTTATAAAACATGCGATGACATCATGATCATCGCTATAATATTGTAGGTCATCTAAAGGCCAATTCACAATACACCAACAGACGCAGACCAACGGCGACAGTCACCAGATTACTGTACGTCACTTCTCAGACATTCACCGATGTGACAATCAGCGATTCAACGTTTAATTGGCCTAAACAAGAGCCGACCGACGCCGACTCTAATCCGACAAAACCCGACAAAGTATCTGTTCCTGTCTGTCGGCATCTGTTGGTGCAGTGTGAATTGGCCTTAAGTTTGTTCTAACCTGGAAAGGCCCTTTTTGAATGAGTTCATCCATGGACACTACTGTCATGAGTCTCGGCCGACCTGTCACAGGGTCATCCACCATCTCCAGGTAAACCCCCAAGAAACCACGCCCCCATCCCAAAAGAGCACGGCCTGCTCCCAGGGGTCCCAATGAGCCCTGGTCCCTGGCAGGCAGAGCGTTATCGCTCTGTGAAGTCCTCAGTGAGCCCTGCTGCAACATGAGCAGCCTATTTGAACCCCTAGTGCCACCTTCACCCTCCTTATCAATGTCCAGGCTCTTGGTACGCCCAGCCTGTTCTTTGGCTCCTCTTCGGGTCTGCTCCTCTTCCTCACTCCCCTCCGAGCTCTCCTCATCATCCTTCTCCATCCCTGCCGCTCCAAGGTCCAAAGTGAAAAGGTCATAGAACTTTGAGCAGGAAGTGGCCAGGTACATCTTGTGGGCAAAGACACGAGTGGCCCCGGCCTGGAGGAGGAACAGGACGTCTGCACACAACAGCTGGCAGAAAAGAGAGTCCGGACCTTCTCCATCCATGGGAGGAGGATCGGGGATGCCCACCACAGGTCGTGGTGGTCTGGGGGGGAGGAAGGGGGCCTGGAGTAGGGGACGCTGAACCTTCTTTAAATGGGACTTCCAGAACTGAAGGTGGCGTCGAGAGATGAGAGCAGCACGGATAGCATTGTCAAACACATCCTTTACACCGAACTGAGCAACAATGCTTGTTTCATAGTATGGAATGCCAAGTTCCTTAGCGACCTCATGGCCTCGTTCTGGGGGCAGGATATCTGTAGGTTTGATGGGTCTAGGAGCGGGACAGTTAAAAAACAGAAGCATTATTAAAGCCAGACAGACTATACACTACTATTCAAAAGTTTGAGGTCATTACGATTTTTATCCCTTATACCGTATTCTGGACAAATGTGGGCAAAATAGTTTTGATTTATTTATCTTCCCTTGATCTGAGCGGTACAAGTCTTGGCTATTTTTCCTTAGTTTGCCTCCTGAACACACACAATTTTTTGACTCAATTCTACAATGTTAAGTGGGTGAAAAAAACAAACTCCGTAATCTTGTAGTGGGTCAAAAATGGGCACCCATAGAAATGAATGGGAAAAACTGTAATTTAGAGCATTCTAAAATAAGCCAAAAGTAGACACCAGGTGACAGCAAAGTCACTTCATCTTTAGGTTTTAGCTCTAAGAACTTATTGAAATGATATTTTAATGTAGTTAAAAAATGTATAAAATAAAACATAAAAATAAGCATAATTTACATAGAAAATATGGTACTTTTTGAAGTAAATAAATTCAAAAATACCCCCAAAATAAAAAAACACCATAAATGGATAGACAAAACTTTATCGAAGACAGTGATATAACATTTATAATAAATAAAAATTAGGATCACACCCGAGTCTTCTGTGCCCACATTTGTCCACAATTACAGGATTAAGGGCTATAGACGCTTTCATCAGACGCGTTGCCATGGTGATGAGCTGGCCCAAAGTTAACTTCCGTTCTGTTCGTTTATTAGTGTTTACTGGATAATATGGCATTGACTACAAATGCAGTGAAAGTTAAGGTGATGAGCAGGTTGGTGAGCTGTGGGGTGCAACCTGACCTAGGGAGCAAACGCAATTTTTAAAAATAAAAATGTCAAGGTTTCCTATGAGGGAGACGGCGGGATTAAAAATAGCCTATGTTTATCTGAGTGATAACCGGTACAGTGTTTCCCATACATTTATTAGTGGCAGCCCACCACATTATCAGCGCTGACCGCCACATATTGATTTCCGTGTTTTTAACAATTTAAGATGGGAAAAGTTGTAATTGACTACAGAGTTGCGTGCAGCGCATATTCGCACGCTCTCTCTCTCTCTCTCTCGCAAACACATTGACAGCGGACCAGTCTGTGTATTGAATGGTTATATCATAAAAAGGGCTGCACAGATCCATCCAACATGCTGTCAATGTGGAGACCCACCTTAAAAAAAGGTTAGCAAGCATGTAAGAAGCCTAGCTAATAAGGAGAGCTATGTTAACCTTATCAAACCCCACCGTCGCACTCGCCACAGTTTTTTAACACTGCGGTAACTCAGACTCGTCGGTAGAAAAACATCTTGTCTCCAATTTTTGTTCAACGGGTCTGGTAGTGTCACATTTCAGTTTGGCCAGGTAACATTTATTTTCTTTGACTGGCAAGAAATACCAGCTACTAGGTTATTTACTTGTTATGGATTGTCTCTGCAAGTCTGCCGGAAGTTAAGTTTGGGCCAAATTAATGCACATGCGCAGTATCGTTTGTTTATGTTGTCACTGCTGAAAGCGTTGAGGGCTATGTTGATTTTAATGTTATCAAAAGACTCTTATGATCACCAAAAACATGTTCAACAGTAATAATAATAATTAAAAAAACAGTAAAACTGTAATATTATTGAAGAATATTACAATTTAAAGGAACTGTGTTCTATTTAATATTTTTTTAAAAAAAAGTAATGTATTCCTGTGATGGCAAAGCTGTGCAACATGATCCTTCAGGAATCATGGTCAAAACTTTTTGTCACTTAAATATTATATAATTTTTTTAAGTTGACAAAAGTTATTTTGATTAATATGTCTGTGGAAACCATGAGACATTTTTTTTTCAATTTAATGTGTCCTTGCTTTTTTAGTATTAATTTAAATTAATTGAAAGTATTTTTTCTTAAATCGTACCAACCATTTTTACAATTTTAAATAATATATGGGTACATTACCCATCTTACCCTACAAGGTATCAAAGGCAAGTGTAGCAAATGCATAACTAACCACAAACATTCTAAACCGCACAAGAATCCTCTCAAACGGAAGCTCAAAAAAGAATGGAAAACTCTTCATGCTGAAGTTTAATAACATAATATGTGCTAGGAGTGGGTGTAGGATGTGGTCATACTTGGCCAGAGGCCGGCGAGCCCGGTTAACAGCGTCCAGATCAGCATAGCGCAGGTCCAGCTGGCAGCCCACCAGGATGATCGGAGTGCGGGGACAGAAGTGCTTAATCTCAGGGAACCACATCGTGCGGACATGACGCAGGGAGTTCGGATTGGCCAAAGAGAAGCACAGCACAACCACATCTGATCTAAAAACACAGAGAGAAAGAACTATATTTATTTAAAGAGAATACATCCAAAGGGATCATGTAATAGGCAGGAAATTGGCAAACCCTGGACACTAATCGTCCTACACCGAGGCTTTAAAATGGACAGTGAATCACTGTTATTGGAATAAACACTGTCACAAATGCAACAAACAAAACTACTGAGCAACAAACAGATTTTCTTGGTTTCCAAATGTCATAAATCCAGACTTATTATATATTTTTATATTATATTATAGAGAATGATTTGTCAAGTGTATTGTTGTGGCACAATTGTATGCAAAGTGATATTTATTTACCATTACATTCATAAATGAGATTTTTGCATAAAGGCAAAACCAAAGATCACCAGCTCACAAATCATAATAAGTATTTTACATACTGAAAGTCGCGGTATGATCATTTCCCCCGCGGCATAAATTAACTTCATAAAGAAACAGTGAGCGAGTGAGCAGCCAAATAGAGTAATGATTGTGTGATTGCGTGTGTATTAATGCATGTGTGCCCTTCCAGTGAATGTGTCTGCATGCAAGGTGTTGCGCACGTCATTAAAGCATCTCATCTGGCTCAATAACCAGCGCTGGTCCAATAATAGCGAGTCGTCCGACCATGTCATATTTCACAGCTGCACTCACAAACTCATCAAGTGAGACCAGCATACACAAGAATGACTAATGGAGCGCCGCATTGTTGTTGTTGTAAAACAAACTTGGTCTAGCTAGCAAATTCTGTGCTAGAGAGCCGCTGTCCTACACAGTTTAGCTTCAACCCTAATTAAACAAACTAATCAATGTCTTCAGGATTACTAAGGCCACAGGCAGGTGAGGTTTTTTTTTTTCAGGGCTGGAGCTAAACTCTGCAGGACAGGGGCTCTCTAGGACCGAACTTGCCAACCCCTGAGCGGATCTCATCACAGTTATGCATTTACACTGGACAGTGCTCATGTCAGGGGTGGAGTGGCAATCGGGAGAGTCGGGACTTTTCCTGGTGGGCTGGTAGTGTTTCTAGGCCGCGGGGGTAGTTGAGCCTTTTATACATTGTCGTGTTTCTTTAGGAATAAACAATGGAGAAATGGAGTCTTTAAACACCTCAGATGTAAAGTTATTTGCTGTCAAAGTGACGCCAAAATGAATGGGAATCAATGGAATGCTAACAGCAGGTGAAGGCTACCTAGCTAATGGCAGCCCACAGGGAGGCTTCAGTTTCCGGCTGGTGGATTACCCCTTGAAAAACACTCTTCAGAAACCTACAGATGAAGACACGGACACTACGTCCATATTTTTTTATAGTCTGTGGTTCCAAATTGGCCAGTCAGTGAAAAAGTTTAATCATTCACCATTTCTCAGTGAATAATAACTGCTGTAAAAACCAGTGCTGAGGACTGTGTTATGTAATCAGTGTGTGTGTTGTTCTACAGAGATATGTAGAGCATGTCTAAGTTCAAACTCCTGACTGCAGGTTTGCTTGACTACACTTTGATCTCAGAGATACCATACAAATAAGCCTAAATATTTTAAGAAAAACAAACAAACAAAAATATATAACAAAGAATATAACTTCTGGTCGTACCATAGCACAAAATGGTATCAGTGTGTGTGTGTGTGTGTGGCCTGGTAAACTCTACATTATGGAGAAAAAAAATATCCCCACTATGATGGCAATATCCAAAATCGTTTCGGGGTAGGGTTTGTGTAAGGGGATAAAATATAGTTTGTACAGTATAAAATAATTATGTCTATGGTAAGTCCTCATTAAAGATGAAAACACAATGTGTGTGTGTGTAATGTATGATGATATGCATGTATAAATATGTGTCATCTCGTGGAAGAGGGCCTCCCCACTGAGTCAAGGTCCCTCAAGAGGCTTTTTCCTTATCTACATAAACATCGATCAAAATAAGTTAAGATAGTTTCACTTGCGTTTCACAATGAGTTTCGTCAGTTTATGTTCACAAATAATTAGTGGACTCAGCTAGGCTTTGATAAACATTTTCAAGAAATGTTAAATGTGTCTATGTGGGTGTGTATTTAGCTTGAGTAACAGACACTGAGGGTGAAGGTCACCTGATTCTTTTTCCATAACGGCACCACCACCATTAATAATGTTTTATCAGCTGACTGCACCTGTACTCTACAAACAAACAGGACGTGTCTGATCTCACAGACACACATCCTGTTGATTCATTCACACAGATTTCTCACAGATCTATCTCTCATATACTAAAAAGACATATACTAAAAACACATTAACAACACTATAACATTATTGATGAATTACATAATCAAAACATAATCTTTTTTTTTAATTAATTAATCATTTTATTTAGCAAGTATGCATTAAAATGAGTAAAAGTATTTGAGACATTTACAATGTTACAAAAGATTTCTATATCAAATAAATAGTTATTTTGAACTTTCTATTTATCAAAGACTTCTGAAAAAATTATTGGTTTTATATAAAAAAAAAAATAAGCAGCACAACCATCTTCAACATTAATAGTAATAAGAAATGTTTCTTCAGCACCAGATCAGCATATTAGAATGATTTCTATAGGATCATGTGACATCGAAGAGTAACTGAAAATTCAGCTTGCCATCACAATTTTAAAACATATTCAAATTAAAAACCCATTTTTAAAATTGTTCACAATATTTCACAATAATACTAATATTTTTTTTTTAATAAACACAGCCTTGGTGAATATAAATCTTGGTACACAAATCTTACTGACCCCAAACTATTGAACGGCCGCGCGTGTGGTTAAAGATCCGGGCTGGAACAGGTTAAGTCCCAGTTTCTTTCTCAAAAAAATAAAAAAACATAAATATTAAGAAAAAAAAACTATATATGTGGGCAAAATGCAACCACTAAATATATTTATAGCTTGATAGTTTGTATTTATTGCAATGAAATTGCAGGTTTGGTTTGAATAATACAAACTCTTGTGTGATTGCCCTGCTAATGCAGTTTATATAAGTGAGAACACTGCCATCAGAAACTTGGTGCCCACCAAACAAGCGGGATTTAGATGGGTCTCTCGATCTGTTCCTGGTGCTGTTTTGACTCTTTTATAATTCATTTTATAAGCTCTTCAGAGTTCTATCTGTTATAGATTCTATCTGTAATAATGCTATCATATGGATGAGTTTAGCCCAGCACACAGCATTGTTTTGGATGTTCGATAAGTTCTGTCACAAAATGAATGCATAAAAGCAGTCTGTTTTGTTTTTGTATCTTCAGGTTTGGTCTTAAAAATGACAGTGTGCATGTTAAGCAAACCAGGACTAAATGCACCATTTTAATTTTTGGTCTGGACCAAAACAAGGAAGAGAACCGAACTACAAGTATGAACACACCCATAGATGTAAACACTGTAAGCATTTAGGATCAGTGTCAATCTCCCACATTTTCTGACCCATCTCTCTGCTTGGTTTAGCAGCTACTGTGATCTGCTGCACCGCCCTGAGCCAAAGCACCATTGCTGATCCACTGATCCTCCGCTGCCCTGCCCTGCACTGCACTGAGAATAAGAGCCTCCACGCAGTGCTCTTTGGCTAGGCTTACAGCACATTACCTTCCCAGCTGGGAGGATTAGGGCAATAATCAAAGCTTGGCAGGGCAAAACATACCACAGCCAAGAGTGGAGAGATATCCCAATAAAACCAATGGAAGATTGATCTGAGCAACGGTATTGTGGGACATGAATTGCGTGTGTGTATCAAGGCAAGGGTTCTATGACATGGTTTATTGACAACCCATAGAGCCATGAAGACACGGAGCACCATGAGTTTAAATCCAGTTCCTTCTTGTGTAACTGACCTGCCATAAGCAAAGCGTCTGTCTTTGTGATGATCTCCAAATGTGTCCCACAGCCTGAGAGAGACACTGACCTCGTCCACCACGTCTCGTGACCTCTCCAGTACCTAGTTAATTAAGGTTTAATTTTACCAGTACACCAATGCAAACTCATTATATTTATTATATTCATCTTTATTACTCTGTCAAGTTTATAAAGAACAAATGTCATTTTTGAAATTGCCTGGCTAGGATTATGACAGTTAACAATAAAGTAAAAAGTAAAATTAAATGAGATTAATATATAAATATTACAAATAAATGAACAAAAATACAAGTAAACACATTGTATATATATATATTACGGCTGTCAAACGATTAATCGCGATTAATTGCATCCAAAATAAAAGTTTGTTTTTACATAATATATGTGGGTGCACCGTGTATAATTATTTTGTATATATATATATAAATACATACACATGCATTTATATTTAAGAAAACAATATTATTTATATATAAAATATTTATATTTATATATAATATAAATTATATATAAATCTATATACAGTATATACATGAAAATATTTCTTAAATATATACAAGCATGTGTGTATATTTATATATATATATAATAATTATACACAGTGCACCGGCTGCACCCACATATATTATGTAAACACAAACTTTTATTTTGGATGCAATTAATCGCGATTAATCGTTTGACAGCCCTAATATATATTTATACCATTTATAACTAATAAACTAAAGAGTATACAGTAAATACACTGGTAAAACAGGTTGTACTCAATTGCCATGCATGTACAGTTATAGTACACTATTTATGTCAACACTTAATGCTCTTCAACATGTACACAATATGCCAAAGGTCTACCCACCTCCTGGCACACACGGTATTGGTCGATGGCCCAGACAGTTGGCACGTGGGTGGCAAGCAGCTGGTACTGAGTAAGGGTGGCATTGCAAGCACGGGCGCAGATCAGCCGAGTCTTGCCCACCGCGTTATCCCCCACCACCACACACTTTATGGTCTCCACATTGGGTCGCTCATAATCTGTGTCTATATCCATGGAGAGGGCCCTGAAAGACAGCAAAATAGAGAGAAATTATTATTATATTGACGAAAAATCCTGAAGTATAAACTCAGTTTCTAATACAGTTCCATTCATTTTACTATGAAGTCCAAATAAAACAAAACTACAATTAAGTTATAACAAACTAAAAATTATGGTAGAAAAAAAATGATAATAATTCACTCCATTTATTGTGGTTACTCAAAACAACATCCACAGTAATGAATGGCGTCATCAATACTGACTAGTACTCATTCACCAAATGTTCAAAGTTTAAACAAAAATCTGGGTCAGGTGCTATTTCTGTCTGAGGAAGGAACAACAAAGACAGCCAACACAGTTCTGCACTTGGCTGTACAGCGTCAGTCGACGTGAACAATGGCATCTAGCAATTTTTCTTTCTTTCGGAAGAATTCACCTAAGGTCAAAGCCCAGTGGTAATGCTGATTTGTATGAGACAACACCGGTAAACCAGACAGCATAAATTCTCATGCTTTGCCCGGGTTCCTGAAACAAACCGCATTAATGCAAACGCTCACGTAAACATTGACTTAAACCTCAAAACCATCAAGACTGAAGCTCTCTGCAGAGCAAAGAGAAAAAAAACCTGCTGAGGGATGCGTCTGAAACAAATCATTAGGAGACCTGTGTGCCAACATGTACGACTGTAACTTAATATCCATGACAACTAGCAAGTTCTCATTTAGGTTCAAACAAAACCAAGCAATACAAGATGTGCTTTTTTTACCCCTAAAAAAAATGAGATTTTTATTAATGACTGCAGACATTTGTTCAATAAGAAGTCGCATAGCCTACATTTGAGCAAGTGCACAGAGCTATAAAAAAAAATAATAAAAAAATCGATGTTAAAACACCACTATGATAAAAGAGGCTGTATAAAATTAAATACAAATGATTTTGGGAACCGTAACTCCTCTGTGCACCCGCTATGGCTTGAATTACCCTTGATAAATGCCCTAAAAGTCTCCAGAGCTGCACAGATCAATTAGCTTTCCGGGAAACAATGAAGAATTTCCATGAATAAACACACAGGCAACACTCTTGGCCGACTAAGAGCCGTGCATTCTTTTGACACAGCTAAAGTGAAGTGATACAGCTATATACATTACAGCCGTCATGAGCTCCGCTGTCCAAGACAGCTAACGTTCCATAAAAAGAGCTCATGAAAGATTAATACGCTACTGTTTATTGTTCCACTGACAAAGACGTCACAGTTCTGGCCTCCAGTGACATACTGTACTGGGGACTAAAAATGATTCTCATTCGTTCAATTCATTCTGAATAGCAAGGTGGCAATTCTGACAAAGATTAGTAATGTGTCAAAATGGCCTATAAGAGGTCAAGAGACGTTTTATCTAGAGCAGCAGTGCTCAGTTAATTCCTCATGAGGAGAATGTTACAGCCAGTTTTGAGATTTTGGATCAGTGAAGAAGGTTTGAGAGACACCTCTGTGAAATGTTGTCGGTGTTAAGGGTGCTCTGGAGGAAGCTTCTTTAACGGGTTACGTAACGGTGGCACTACGGGCCGATGAAGCTGAGCTGTAAATGTGACTAGATCTTGCTGTTATCTAACAGCGATCTTTATAGCTGTTATGTGAGAGTCATCAACATTTATAGAGGATGCTATTTAGGTGAAGATTATCAAGAAAGCATTTTCTTTTTAAATAATAATTGGGAGGGAAATAATTTTTTTTTAAAAACAGACTTGAGTATGTTCTCTCAGGGTGCAAAAAGTGGGACGGTGGTTTAGAGGTGTGAGTGCAAGCTTATGCACTTTGAACAATCAACCACAATGTTTCCACTTTTTAACTTTCTACACATTGTCAATTTCTATATGTTTGAAATTACATTCAGGGATAGTTCAATAATAAAAAAATAAAAAAATAAAAATATTCTGGAAAATTATTCCAAACCCGTATGACTTTCCATCTTCTTTGGAAAATAAAAAGTGATTTAAAAAAATAAAATAAAAAAATACAGTATAGCCTACTGTTCGAAGATTTTTCCAAACAAAAATATTAAAACAAAACATTAAAAACACATTAATATTTTCAACATAAATAAAGATAAGATTGGTTTTTGAGCAGCAGATCAGCATATTACAATCATATGAAGGATCATGGGACACTGACGACTAAAGTAATGATGGTGAAAAAGTAGCTTTGCCACACGAAAAAGAAAAAGTCAATTGTAAAAATATTTCTCAGTTTTATTGTTTTTACCATATTTTTGATTAAAATGACTCTGTGTAACTTTTTAGGTAATTTGTTATCTAAAAACAATATTTTTATTCATAAATATGTCCTCAGTGGTGTACAAATACCTCTGCTAATTATCTGACTTATCTTTGAAAAATAAAGAATTTATTATCTTTATATACATGGGACGGATAAGTCCGCAGAGGCTTCCATGTCAAGGTCAGATGTGATGTGGAGCCTCTTGCTCAACTATGAAAATGTTTGCCTTATCATCCATAATTCAGTTTGCATGTAAGAGTCACACAGAATTCGTGTGCAGTGTTCTGTGAAAGAGCACTTACTGATTGTAACAATTGTAAGTAATAATAAAATTCCCTACACCACTATCTGGCCTTTTTACCATTACAGTGTACATGATTCCATGGTATATTTAGTTTACTGTTTGAGTATGGTGGCAATTTTATTGTTACCACCAAATATTTTACATATTCTTGAAGATATCTTTAAGTCTGGTTTGAGACCCAACCTTAGGTTATCCAACCTCTCTGGTCTCGGTCTCGACTATCTTTGGTCTCTGTCTCGACTCGGACTCGACCCTCTATGGTCTCGGTCTCGACTCAGACTCGAGTGAGCTGGTCTCGACTACAACACTGTCAGAACGTAAAATAAGAAGCAGGAACGAACTGCATATCCTATATTGGATTTTAACATCCAATAGTTTAAATCGCGGCAGCAGCTTCAGGTTGGTAGTCAAAGGCATTGTTGTCTATCTGTACTTCCAGGGCTCTTCTCAGCGGAGCCTCGCTTTCGATTTCAAAATGGCGGCAGTGTATAATCAGCGTATTGAGTGATACGGTGACGTAGTCAGAGCAATGGACTTCAGTGCCATTCTTTGTTCTTTTCTCAAAGAAAAGGTTAACTCCAAGTCTTCCAGAGTTCCGGCCAAAGCCGATTCGAAAGACCGCTGTTCGCCAGCCATCTTCTTTGTTTTCAAGTAGCAGTGAATTCACGCGGAACCGTCGCAACTCTGCCGTCATTATGTTAAGCCCGCCCACCGACTCTATTCACGATGTGATTGGTTATTCCAGCTCACAAGCCAACAGAGAGTTGCTGGATGACCCTGGCTGCAAATTACATTTTCTGCCACTAGGGTGCGTCTAGATTTCAAGGCTACTTAATTTGTGTTCCGAAGATGAACGAAAGTCTTACGGAGTTGGAACAACATGAGGGTGAGTAATTACTGACAGAATTTTTGGGTCAACTACCCCTTTAAATGATGACAATTTACAGTGTTGTGTTTTTGTCTTTACCCGAACACTTGGTCCGAATTTCTACGAACTGAGCATAGTTTTCGTTTGTGGCACACAAACGCAACAAACAAATGTGTATGATAAAAGTAATGATAGCAGAGACATGGATGTCTCATGAAGCTTTTAGCAGAGTCAGTTGAGTGAGTCAGTGTTTTGTCGTGGGGAATGAGACGAGCAGTGTGCCACACTAGCACTTGTTTTAGTGACAGGGAGCTGAGGTCTGAGAATGAGCGAGAGAGAAAGAAAGAGAAAGATGAGACGCGTGGCAGACGCCCACTCCATTCACAAACACTGTACGGCCCACACAACAGTTCGTCTGCTTGTATTCAGTCCTGCCAGCCTCAGTGTGTGTGTGTGTGTGTGTGTGTATCATGTAGGTAGAAAGAAAGAAGAATATCACAGCATTGTGGACCAACTACAACCCACAAGCAAATATGGCAGCTAATGGACAATAAAGTCTTTTGGTAGGCTATAATAACTAAAGTACAGCACTGTCCATATATTTCAAGTGCCAACCACTAAAATTGAATTACGGATTCAAATGAAACATTTCCAGGATCTCCTCATGAGATAAATCTCAGACTAGAGTATTCTTCTGTAAGTTTGACTGTCCTTTCCCCTCTCTATCCAGCTGTCTTTCTAGACAGCTGGGCAGCGGAGACTTGCTCACCCCTCCTGCACTGTGTCTGGGTTACATAACAGCTCCAGTGGCAAAGGCTGCTCTCTCTGCCGTCACATAACCAGAATCCACGATTAAGCCTCGCTCTTAGAGAGCACCTGCAAGCCCCCTGTACTTTACACTGAAACCAGACTTCCCTTTTTTTATCAAAAGAAAATCCAATACAAACTAAATCAACCCAAACCATATTAACACATAAACTGGCTTAACCCCTGCCTATCATAGTGACCTAATTTCTTTATTTTCCATCAATGCAAAGTGTTTCGCCCGGAGTGTGTCCGCATGGGTGTTTACATACGCATATTTTAAGTGTTTATAGATGGGACATGTGAAGACAGGGTATGCCATGAGCACAGACGACTTATGTAACGTGGTGGTCTCCTGCTTGCCAGTAAACAGGTTAAAGTGGAGCAGCGTTGTACAGTGTTTCCAAATACTAGGCTGATTCAAAATAGCAAGCACTGAGCAAACTGTACCACTGCAGCTTAGAGCCTTGAAGCATCTTACACCACATCCCTTTGTACTGAGAGGAGTCAATGTCTCTTAGTGGATCAATGACATTTTATAGCCAGGCCACAAAGTCGTTCAGAGTGCTGAGTCCTTCAGACCAGAGAATGAGTTAGATCTTTCCCCTTAATGCCATCAGTCACTGGGGTGTAATGGAGGAATTAACCACTGAATCACTGAGATCTACTGTCCGAGTGATAGCATCAGGGACGTTTTAACTACTTCACATCAGTAGCCACAAAAAGTGTGTGGATGCTTAAGTCCCATTTAATGGATGAATGTCTTTGCATTTTATAACAAAAAATAAACGATTGTTAATGATCAATAACTGGTTTTAAAAGAACTACAGCACATAGATCACAATTTTCAAGCAAAACATTGGACATAATGAATCTGTCAGGTTGCTCTTTGTTATGATGTCACCCATTCAAGTTACAAACAAAGCCTAAATAAAGCAAAATTATGAAATAGATATAGATATAGATTATAGATATATTTTATAATGTCCGCTATAATACAGATCAAGGTTTCTGCAATATGCCAAATCACTACATCCCCTTCAACTTTATTCAGTCATTTACATGCTCAGAATTTAGAACTCGAAATTACATTTCCAACTATACTTGGGAAAAATCCCCTTTACATCTGTTAAAAGTAATTGAAAATGGCTCTGAAAAGAGACGTTAGTTCTGAGAAAGCACTAGCTTTCAGATGGTTTGATATTTACTTATATTTTCTTAAATAGAACAACTTGCTCAAAAGTGCCCAAATACTTTTTGGAGGCAATAGCCCTATATTTGCTAGTATTTTCTGATGATCCTAAAAAATGCAGTCCAAAGTTTTTACTCTTTGTAGCCATCTCTGTTCGAAATCTGCAATCATTCCATGAAACGATCAACTTTACAACTTTACACCCCACAGTGCAGATGAACACACCGTTTGAGGAGAGTGTGCAGCTGTCAATCACCGCGCTGGTGTGGATACTGACATTCAGAATCACAGATTATTATTTTTGTAAATATGACCAACATAAGAATTTTCACTGGAAAATGTCATCTGAACTAGTAAGAAAAATCCACTTTTGTCCTGGTTCTGACATTGCAGTAAATTGCACTGTTTAAATCTAAAAATCGATTATCATATCAAAACTGTGCAAATTATACTTTATTCTCATATTGTTAATGTTAACAACGTAAGCATTGCGTGACTACATATGATGTCCTTCCGATATGTATCCTTGTTTTCGCATGGGTCCGGATGCAGTCTCTTTTTTGAAGTTAGTCACTCCAAAGTCCGAACAAAGTCTTCTGCATTTTACAGCGGGTGAATGTGTTATCACTGGTGATTGTTGTTTGAATCTTTCTAGATTGTTCATCAAATTGATAAGTATAATAATATCAAGTGCTGTGAGAAAAGGCTATAAATCTCCACCTCCAACATCCTCACACGCAACATAGCCTACTAGCCGAGACTCCTTCTTTATGTGTACAGGTGTGACATAATGACGCAAAGACTCAAATCTCCCGCGGAAAACCACCAGTACCACTGGAATTAAAAAACTTATTACAAGCTTACCGTTTTGAATCGAGCTACGGCAAGCAGATAGCGTTGAACACTGGCTGGTTATACTTTCGCAAGTCTGTATTTTGGATCATTTTTAAGCCCAAAAAAAGCTTTAATTGATCGCAACTGCAGCCAACTGACACTCTTGTCCTCCATGCTATACTCAAACAAGTTCAGATCAGCAAGAACAAAGTAGTAATTACAGCGAGATGTGCACAAGTTAAGCTGATAACAGTGAACCACCAATTAAGTCTTCAAAAAGAGTTTAACTATTTAGCACAGTGGCCCACATGAACCACAAGTGTCATGAGTCCTATGGACCTAAGCTGTCATTTGCACTATAAATACAACTGTACCTTTACCCTTGAGAGCATACTCAGCAATGAGAGACTCATTAAAGTCAGCCCATGGAAAAAAAAAAAAAGGAAAGGAAAGGTATATAGAGTCCCCAGACTTCAGCTCTCAATGGACCAGCTAAAGCGAATGCATTCAAATAGCGCTGAGAGGGGTGGCTTATCTAAGACCATTTTTGCTATGGATGATCGCACAACATTTGTATTTGTTTTATGATTAGCAGCACTTGTCATTCTGATAAGGTGAGCATAAAAAAGCAAAAGAACAACACACTTTTGTTATCAATTTCTGAACAGCATGACAGAGCAGTTTGTAATGAGTGTGAAGCAGCAGTTTATTGCCGACAAGCAATGTTTAAATAACAAAGCCTAACAATCACATCATAAAATAATGATTGCTGAATCAGCAAAAGACTAAAACACCCTGGATTATAATGGACAAAGAGTCCGTAAGATCTCACAATAGCATTAGCGGGATAACCTGGCTCATGCATGCAAAGCCACAAAAAACAAAACACAATAAAAAAATACATTATGGCGGAATTTCAGGGAATTCAAATGCTCAAGACCTTTTCTTGTGATTAGATCAGGTGTAAAAGTATTGTGTAAAAATATGTAGGGGCGGCCGGCCATTGACAAATGCCCATTCATACTTGTATGAAGCCCTAATTCAGCACCCCATTCAGAATGTGCTTCATTGAGAAATATAAACCAGTAGTGAGTTCTCTCAGTAAGAGGATTTCTCGCTTTAAGATGAAAGAGAATGCCAGTGAATTAAATGTGAGTTCATTTAAGAAAGAGAGATAAAAGATGCAAGAAAAGGTGAGCCAAGCCCATGCTCGCCACCGAATCAGAGTGCGCAGTGGAAAATGAGTATACAAATAAAACACGGTACTATGAAGACTGAGAAGATGCATAGCAACAAACTGGCCAAAGCGAAAAAGAGAGCCGCAACAAGATACAAAGACACACTTCCTGTGGCAAGCCATTTATTCTTTAAGACTAACTATTGTTATGCTACTGGTACTTGAGTAGAACATTTTTTTATTTATTTTTTTCAATTTAATTAGTAACTATTCATTATATAGTAGAACTTATTCACTATACTAATAATTATACCGACAGCAACAAATTTTATTAGTAAGTATTCCTTTGCTGCTAGTCAGAGCCAATATTGACATGACAAATCCCAAAACAGTAAACTGATGCCATATTCTATTTCGATAAATTAAGTGATAGGGTTGATGTGTGCGTTTCTATGTCACAAGCTATATATTTTCGACATTGCACATATTGCATGAATATGGTTTCCCACTGTTTATTTTTCTATTTCAGTTCCTGATTTGAAGACAAGGAGCACATAAACTGGTCTGCCATGCTTCTTATATTTATCGCAAAGTTGAAAACGCCCTTCCCGTGCCCAAAATAAAGTGTCTGTGGATGAGAGTATGAGGTGAGGATTGATGGGATGTTTTTCTGCTTCACTTCACGGAAAATGAGTGGTAGGAGAATTTTAGAATAGCAAAAGTCATTTATGACATTTTATTTAACAACTGCAGCTTGTTTCGTGCGTTATATCATTGTGCCATTTCTATGTCATTGGACGCGCAATCCTTTCCAGTTTCGGTTTTCAATCCAATCAAGTGTTTACATTCTCTCTGATCAGATTAGACCCTTTCAATCTGATCGAAATTTCATTCAGATTGAGCTCAGTCGGGTCGATTAAGTTGTTTACATGATGGCTTTCAGATTACTATTGGATTATTTGGCTACATATAAATGTTCCTAATAAGAACAAATGGTTTTGCCTTCGTCACTTTGTCATGCGGTGCATCATGTGCAGTCTCAATGTAAGAGTTTTCATAGAACTATAAAGTAGCAATTCTATAGATTCTATCAATTATAAAACTGCAACATCTAGTGATATAGTAACTGATAAAAAATGGGATATCTATCCTATATCTTAAACATGGTCATTGCATATTAAAAAGGTAACTAGCAAACAGTGAATAGCTGATATGTGAACCACAGAGTTGATATGGTAATGTGAGAGTGAATAGAATGTGAACTGAATAGATCCTAGTCAGGCAGTAATAAAATACGCAGGTTAGCTGTGCATGAATGAATGAATGAGTGAATGAATGAATGAATGAAGTTATTTTTAAATGGATGTTAAAACAGCTTGCCATAAGTTTCCAACATAAAGCGTTGTTTTAAGGATGGGCGTTAGTGTGTTTTTACTAGTCAGTTTTGATGCAGCGTTCAGTGCAATAATGCAACCGTAACTACGAATCCGCAAATGCGGCATGATTGTCGCGATGTGAAACAAAGTGAAATTTCTTTTATCACCTTACCTTCCGACGCTTCCAGAATTGACCCACATGCCAGTCCTCGCGTGGTTTCCTCCTAGCTCCCGTTAAGCCGGGTGCAGGAGATCAAATCAAACCTTTAAATGACTGAGACGTCTCTGAAAAAGTCTCGACTGTTTGTGTTTAACTAGCTGGTGTGTAACGGCTGACACAAAGGCAGCATCTTCACACTCGCTTTCTCTGCTGATCTGAAAGAGATCCCCTGAAACAAGTTTGCAGACTGCAGTGGAAAACAACCGTAAAGTGCGCTACATCTATCCTCAGTCTGTCAAAGATGCCTAGATCTTTCTCCTGAAATTACTGACATTTATAGGCAAGCTCTCATTTTGGGGCGTCGTTGGTGTGTTATTGTTTCTACAGCTGATTTCGCCAATGACACGCCCCTACTCGAGCGTCACTTAAACTGAACTCACCCCGAATCCATGACACTGTGACTGGCAGCCAATCAAATCCATCGCGGCTGATGGCCCCGCCCCGTCTGGAACACTCGGCCCGTTAACCCATAATCTACCAGTCATTTGTTTAGGCTCAAAGTCAAACACGCTCTGACAGGCTGAGCTGTAACAAAAGTTGTTTGTAGTTGTGTTTGAAAACTAGTCTCATACATACATTACTGAATCATTGGAGGTGCATATTCAATATACTGACGTTTATTGCGATAGGTTTTATTGCGAAACTTTAGGTTCAGTCATACTGACAGATGGAGGTCAGGAACACTGCTGTGTTTTATTGGCCCTATATACACTCTTCTTTTTAGTAAATGATAACTGTTACAAGGTTGTGATCTGTATGCAGATGTGTATTAATTATTAAAATTGCAATTTCAACATAAGTGAGACAGCTGCACTGTAAACAAAGTAGGCTAGCCTATTATAATAATTCTGCAGGAAATAATCTAACAGAAAGCCCATCCCCAGACAGCAACATTGTGTCTGCCCAGATCCGGCTCACATCTGGTGGGCTACGTACACATACCAGATGTGGCCCGGATCTGGGCCAGCACTGTGTTGTTGTCCGGTTCTTGTCTCAACAAAGATCTATATGTAAATACTCCGCATACGCACACGTATGCCTCCAAGATGTTTTATCAAGAGGACTTTGTCTGGAAGCATCTGCTGTGTACCTGATGAATGTTTTTAAAAGGTCAGTTTTACATACATTCTCAAGCATAAGCATCTTAAAGACATTTTCTAATGCCTATGACAGGAAACATCTGACAGACACGTTGCACGTGAGCAGTAGGCCTACGTCTTCCAAAACACATCTTCCAAATAAAACGTGCACATCAAATCTCCGCGATGCAGGCCTACTTGTGATATCTGGGATAGTGTAGTAGGGGTTCTCAGCTAATTTAAAATATTTTAAATTAATCTGCAGTAGGCTAACCATTCATTATACGAAGAGTTCAGATGCAAAAGCCTCTAAGTGCCATTTGAAATTTTCTTCTAGAATGATGATTTTTTTTATCAAGCTTGTATTATTTAAGTTCAGTGATTTCACTTAAATGGCAATGATAATTACCTATTAATTGTTATTTAGGTGAAATTACTGAACTTAAATATACAAGTTTGATAAAAATCATCATTAAAGAAGAAAATTTCAAATGAGGCTTTTGCATCTGAACTCTTCATATATTCATCAATTCACTTTTGAATCCTTAAAAAAGACAGAAGTACAACAACATGAGCTATTGCTAGGGGAGGGGGCCTTAAAATAAACATTTCTTGAAAATAACATTTTATTTCATATGGTGACTGACAGGGAAGCTCGTTGATATTTTGTTCCTGTGAAATACTTATACAGACACAGCAAGTAATACTGACCTCTAGTGAAATATACTGGTATAAAACACAACACAGACCTCTAAGTGCTGAGAAAGACTGAAAACCCATCACCATGGTGTTCCCGTTGTTATGCTATTTCAATTTAGAAACATTGAGCACTCAAAAAAGCCTTTTCTCAAACATTTAGACTGCAGATGGGGTCTGACCATGATGTCATTGCACAAAGCCTGCCAGTGATGTCAGTCACAGATTTTGGTAACGCACATACAGCCCCTGTTCCCACACTTCAGTCAATACAGCCTTTTCTGCCATCCATCTCAGACCCAGCTGGACTCTAGCAGGCATGGCAGTGCCAGTGCAGCAGTGGACCCTGAGAAAGTGATGCCCCATGGCCCCTCTGGAGCACCCAGAATGAGAGTGAGAGACTGAGAGATGTGCAGCTGTGGGCATTGTGGGATTTGTCTATAAAAGGGTTTACATAGAATGATGTATAATGAGGTGAGGTTAGTTTGTAATTTATAGTCAGGCTTCTTATACTGATATTATGACAGTGCAAAGCAAAGGAAATGGAGGGCAGAAACATCAATTAGACTGGGTGGATGAAGGGTGAGTCTGGGAAACATTATGAAGTGTCTCCTGCAGAGTTGAGCTATGTTTGTTATTGTGGATTTTGGATGTGAACCCGAGGTCATGAGTATGCACATTTAGACGCACTGTAAATGCACATTAAAAACAGTCTTTCACATTCTCTATCAAACAAACTTGCATGTACTCTCACTTGGCATTAAAGGAATAGGTCACTTTCAAAAAAACTTTTGCCGATAATTTACTCACCCTCATGTTATCCAAGATATCCACGTCTTTATTTCTTCAGTCGAAAAGAAATTAAGGTTTTTGATGAAAACATTCCAGGATTTTTCTCCATATAATGCACTTCAGTGGGAACCAAACGGTTCGAGATCCAAAAGACACTTTCAGTGCAAACTGTTCAAGGGCTTTAAACGATTCCAGGCGATGAATAAGGGTCTTATCAAGCGAAACCATCGCTCATTTCAAAAAAAATTTTTTTTTGTCTTGCTCTGTTCTGTGATGCATGTTCGTGACTCTCCTCTTCGAACTCTTTCATCAAAATGAACAAATCTTTTTTTGAGTCATTTGGTTCATTCAACAAACAAAATGAACAAATTGACTTGGAAAAAGATTCATTCATTTTGATGAACGAGTTCGAATTGGAGTCACACATCATCTTCATGCTCACAATGTTATAATTAAAAGAGTAGTTCACTTTTAAAAAAAAAACATTTGCTGATAATTTACTCATCTAAGATATCCATGTCATTCTTTCTTCAGTCGAAAAGAAATTAATTTTTTTGATGAAAACATTCCAGCATTTTCTCCATAATGCACTCAGTGGGATTTATTTTTGTTATTTATTTTTTTAAATGAGCGATCGTTTCACATGATAAGACCCTTATTCATCGTCTAGAATCGTTTAAAGCCCTTGAACAGTTTGCACCGAAACTGTCTTTTTGACCTTGAACCGTTTGGTGGCCAGTAAAGTACATTATATGGAGAAAAATCCTGGAATGTTTTCATCAAAAACCTTCATTTCTTTTCGACTGAAGAAAGAAAGACATGGACATCTTGGATGACATGGGGGTGAGTAAATTATCAGCAATTTTTTCTTTAAAAGTGAACAACTCCTTTCTGTTCTGTTCGTGCAAGTGGCAAACTTACAAACTCGGTTTTACACAGCTATCATAATCGGAATGCGTAACATTTTACCGCAAACATATTCATCTTCAGACTAGGTAAAGTAAGTCAGACCTGTTATACAATGGGGAATCTTTTTAAGGAGCATAAAATGGAATGAAGTTGAGCCATGCAAAAGAAAAACAGGAAGTCATATAGGACAACATCAGTACAGCGATAGCAGCAGGCAAACTGTTATCTTGACTGGGAACAGTGAACTGAATGCTGTACATCCCTGTCATGGGTACTAATAGTTTGTGGTAAAGAAGAGAATGATGTTTAGCGCCATGGACACAAAGTCCCCAAACAAGTCCTTAAGTGCATAACGGGGAGGAAACAGTTTGAGATTGACATTCTGAGAACAGGGGCAGGTTTCCTGATATCTGTCACAGATTCAGAGGAGTCCAGAGTAGGTTGCAGAAATAACTCAAAACTTTAATAAGAAAATAAGTCACCGCCTCACAGGCTGAATAACAGAAAATGTCTTTTCACAGAAGAGAACAGAAAGTAGCTCTGCAGATGGAGATAAGGGGCCTCAGCTGGCCACCCAGAGTGGTCGGGAGCTTTGGAACTGGTACAGCGCTCCTGTAGTCAGACCCTCAGCTACTCTCCTCGACGACTGCTGAGAGTAACACAGAAGCAGTATAGCACAGCGGTAGGCAATGATCCTCTCAGACACACAGGACCAGACTGGACAGGACAAAACAGGACTGGTGAAAAATTACTCAATGAAGTCAAACAACAGCGATCCAACATACGTTAGGGTCAAACAATAATCCGACAATTCAGACAAGGAAGAGAGGGCTAGAAGTAGCGTGGGGATGAGGAGAAGATAGAGAACAGGTGTGTAGTTGATGAGAATATGAGAATCAGCTGACGGTAATGAAAGGAGGAGAAAATAGAAGTGTAAGCGTGTGGAAAGAGAAGAAATGATGATGTCTAACCGGCAGAGGGAGACAAAGGAAAGAAAACCGAAAGAAAGAACCAGACTCATGACAGTACCCTCTCCTCAAGGTGCGCCACCTGGCGCACCAGAGGATGACTGACGGGCGCGAAAGAATTCGTCAATCAGCGAGCGGTCCAGGACGTCCCGGGAGGGGATCCAGCATCTCTCCTCAGGACCATACCCCTCCCAATCGACCAAAAACTGATGACCCCTCCCCCTGGGGCGAACGTCGAGTAATCTGCGGACACGGTAAATGGGAGCACCCTCGACACGGACCGGAGACAAGACAGGGCGCGGAGGAGCGCGAACTACGGGCTTTAAATTAGACACATGGAACACCGGATGGACCCGACGCAGACTGGCCGGCAATCTCAATCTGACCGCGACCGGACTATGGACCCTAACAACGCGGAATGGTCCAATGAATTTGGGAGCGAGCTTGCGCGAGGGATATTGAAGAGGGAGGTTGGCAGTCGAAAGCCAAACCCTCTGACCACAAGCATATCGCGGACTCTTGATTCGACGCTTATTAGCGGCTCGAAGAGTGACAGAGCGAGACTTACAGAGTGCAGCTCTAACCATTCTCCAAGTTCGTTTACAGCGCTGGATGAAAGCTAGGGCGGAAGGCACCTTGGACTCCAAATCGGAGGATGGAAAAAGCGGAGGCTGGTATCCTAAACAACTCTGAAAAGGCGAAAAGCCGGTCGCAGACGCTGGAGCGGAGTTATAGGCATACTCAGCCCACGAAAGTTGTTCCGCCCAGGACGCGGGATTGCGAAAAGCTAAACAGCGTAATAGGCGGCCAATCGTCTGATTAGCGCGTTCGGCCTGACCGTTCGTCTGGGGATGATACCCAGAGGAGAGACTGACCGAAGC